TGAGGGACCCAGGGGGCGGGGCACGAGGGGTCTCACCGCTGAAGGGAGCTGCGAAGACTGTGGCCACACCCACTGCCGCCGCTGCCGCCAGCATTTCAGTTTGCTTGCTCTTGTTCTAGGGGGATCCGAGTCCAGGGCTCAGCGTCAGCCCCTCCCTCCCCACTCCCATTCCTCCAAGGAAGCTCCCCAGCCCCTAACCTCAGGCTCCCCGATGGTCGCTGTGCGCACACGGCCCAGGTAGGCAGCCATCATCACAGACAGGTGCACGAAGGGACCCTGCAGAGGGAGGGGTGAGCCCAGGGCCCAGGTGAGGGCAGCACAAGAGCCTCACCCAGAGGCCACCGCAAGGCTTCCCCATCACGCCCTCTCCTCCATCTCCCCAACCCCCAGGGCTGTCCTCAGGTGGCTTTTGTCACACTCTGGGTACCTGGCCTGCCTCTTCCCCCAAGACTGAGCTCCCTGAAGGCAGGGCCCAGTCCAAGTCCCTCTGACCCAGCTTTGGTGGTGATGGGGGAGAGGATAGTTTCGGGGGGTGGGCGGGGTGGTTGGGGTGCCCTCATGCCTGCCCATACCACTTTGCCCAGGAAGACAGTGCTGCCACAGGCCAGGGTGCAGGAGAGGCCCACCACCTTGGCCCCAAAGTTCTTAATATCCAGGTAGTCCTCCAAGATCACACCTGACAAGATGGTCTTCACCTCCGGGATTCCAGAACCTTGGCAGGGGTGAGCAGAGCCAGAAGGAAGACAATCTCTAGATTAAAATTCTCAACACTCTACATTACAGTCTTGCCAGATCAGCAGAGCCCTCTCAAGTTAGGATTATTTTTCTTTGGGGACAGGGTCTGGCTCTGTTGGCCACGCTGGAGTACAGTGGCAAGATCATAGCTCACAGCAGCCTCAGATACCAGGGCTCAAGTTATCCTCCCAAGTCAGCCTCCTGAATAGCTGGGACTACAGGCGAGGACCACTTCCCCCGGCTTATTTTTTCAAGAGAAGGAGTCTGGCTATGTTGGCTGGGCTGCTCTAGAACTTCTGACCTCAAGCGATCTGTCCCCTTATGGCTCCCAAAGTGCTGGGATTACAGGCATGAGCCAGTGTGCCCAGCTGGGTTAGGATTCCTTTGTTTGTTTCGGGCTGGAGTGCAGTGGTGAAACACGGCTCACTGCAGGACCAAATTCCCGGCTCAAGCAATTCTCAAGCCTCAGCTTCCTGAGTAGCTCCGACCACGGGCACATGCAATCATGCCCAGCTGATTTTTTCTATTTGTTTTNCCACAAAAAAGAAGATCTCTGGCAGGTCGAAGGGGACGTCCACCCGGAAACTGGTCTTGAAGAGGGAGGTGATGGTCTCTGGGGAAGGAGGGCAGTGGGGAGCCTAGATGGTGCTCCCACCCACCCAAACCCAAGTCCCAGGGTAACAGGCCAGGGTGGAGGGGTGCCAGGTCCTGACCCTGAATCTGTTTCCTGGCATTCGAGGCCCCCACAATCAGGCTCCTGCCTCCCTGTCCAGCCTCGCCCCCTTCTACCCTCAGGGCCCCTGCCCTTCATGCTCCACATGGGTCAGCCCTTCCATCCTCCCAGAAGGAGGTGGAAACAGGGAAGAGGGAAACGGGGGGGCAGGGTGGAGAGAAGGGAAGAGCAAGGAGTGTATGCAGGGGAGGAAGGGGGGACCCTTGCCCTAGCCTCCAGACAGGGCCAGAGTCAGGCAGCCCAGGGGGCTCACCCTGCTCGCTGTTGAAGACCGCCAGGAGTCGGAACATGAAGGCCCCGCAGGTGGCTGCAAAGAAGCCCCTCCAGTAATCCCAGACAGAGAAGTGGGAAGACATGACCTCGATGCTGAACAGGACGCCTGGGGGCGACACTGATCTCAGGTGGGCCCCCCACTCCACCCCCACCCACCTGCGGCTATAGAGCCTCCTCCCCATGTCACCACCTCCCTGACCCATCTGTCCTGCTCCCCTACAGCCTGGACAGGAACAGACAGGAGGGGAGGGCAGGGCATGTGCCCTGGGTGGGGAGGACCTCGCTGCCCAGGGACCCGTCCAGCCTGGGATGCAGGTGTGCGCCCTCTGACTATCGGGCGGGGACGGTTGCGATCCCCATTTTACAGAGGAGGAAGCTGGGCTCAGAGAGGCCAACGGGCCAGGATCACACGTGGATTTCAAATCCACGTCTCTCTAATGTCACCCTGAAGCCTCTCAGCACCGCCAACCACGTCCCCTCTCCCCCCCACCATGTCCCTGGTGGGTGGCTGTCACCAAGGCAGAGCTGAACTAAGAACTAGAATGAGCCCCGCCCCCTCCTCCAGGCTCTCTGCGGGACTGAGGGAGCCCAGGGTGTGAGAGGAGGAGCATGAGGGACCCAGGGGGCGGGGCACGAGGGGTCTCACCGCTGAAGGGAGCTGCGAAGACTGTGGCCACACCCACTGCCGCCGCTGCCGCCAGCATTTCAGTTTGCTTGCTCTTGTTCTAGGGGGATCCGAGTCCAGGGCTCAGCGTCAGCCCCTCCCTCCCCACTCCCATTCCTCCAAGGAAGCTCCCCAGCCCCTAACCTCAGGCTCCCCGATGGTCGCTGTGCGCACACGGCCCAGATAGGCAGCCATCATCACAGACAGGTGCACGAAGGGACCCTGCAGAGGGAGGGGTGAGCCCAGGGCCCAGGTGAGGGCAGCACAAGAGCCTCACCCAGAGGCCACCGCAGGGCTTCCCCATCACGCCCTCTCCTCCATCTCCCCAACCCCCAGGGCTGTCCTCAGGTGGCTTTTGTCACACTCTGGGGACCTGGCCTGCCTCTTCCCCCAAGACTGAGCTCCCTGAAGGCAGGGCCCAGTCCAAGTCCCTCTGACCCAGCTTTGGTGGTGATGGGGGAGAGGATAGTTTCGGGGGGTGGGCGGGGTGGTTGGTGTGCCCTCATGCCTGCCCATACCACTTTGCCCAGGAAGACAGTGCTGCCACAGGCCAGGGTGCAGGAGAGGCCCACCACCTTGGCCCCAAAGTTCTTAATATCCAGGTAGTCCTCCAAGATCACACCCGACAACATGGTCTTCAGCTCTGGGATTCCAGAACCTTAGCGGAAGAGGACAGGAATGAGAAGGGGACAATCTCTAGATTAAAACTTTCAACACTCTACTCACACGGTGTTTTCACGTGATGATTTTTTTTTTCCTTTGACACAGGGTATCACTATAGTTCAGGCTGGAATGCAGTGGTTTGATCTCAGCTGAATGCATCCCTGACCTCTTCAGGCTCTAAAGTGATCCTCCTATCTCAGCCTCTCAAGTGGCTGGGACTACAGGCAGGCACTATGAATCCTGGCTAGCTTTTTGTTGTTGTGGTTGTTTTTTATTATTTGTAGAGATGGGGTTTCACTATGTTGTCCAAGGTGGTCTTGAACTCCAGGAATCAAGCAATCCACCCACCTCCCTAAATGCTGGGATTATAGACTAAGTCACTATTCCTGGCCCTATTATGATCACGCCAGATCCACAGAACCCTCTGAGGTTAGGATGCATAAACACATTTTGCAGATGTGGATGCTGAGAGGCAGAGAGGGAATGTGAATTGTCCATGATCCTCCCGGCGGGCCTGACAGATGGTGTGGCAGGGTGGGGAGCCCTGAACTGAACCTCAGGCCACCACTGAGAGAGCCTGGAGCTCCCCTCTGCTGGCCTGCAGCTGGAGACAGGACTGAGCGCCCTGGGGGAGCTGTGCCTCCTCCACGGGCCCCTTCCTGGCACCAGCACAGGCCCCACAGGGGAATCTCTTTCCAAGGAGCCCTTGGAAAGTGGGTAGGGCCAGCAGTGACCCAAGAGTCAAGATCAGGCTCCTGCTGTGTGCTTTTGGGCAAGCCACACAACCCTTTCTTCTGGGCCTTTGTCTGTAAAATGAGGCTGCCGCTTCCCGACTCCCCCCATCAGAAGTCCCCTGGGATCTGAGAAGGTTTTGGCCAGTGGGGACTGGCATGGTGACCGTGTACTCACCTCCAGAGGAGGGCGTAATGCTCTGGGAGAAGCCCGAGGAGAAAGAGACGAGGGCCACAGGGTACACGGTCCAGGAGAGATACCGGAGCATGTGACCATCCCCAATCTCCCGGTACAGCCACTGGTGTGCTGGGGACAGCCGGGTATCAGGGGACCACCCACAGTCTCGGCAGCCCTCGGGACCAACACTGTGGTGCCCACTGACTGACCAGGAAATGGAGGCACAAAGAGGGGAGGACCAGGACACCCAGTGAGGGGCAGACCCCCGAGAGGAGGCAGGAGCGCGACCCTGGGTCCATATCCCAGGTTTACCACTTTCTAGCTCAGTGACCTTGGGCAACCACTCAAGCTCTCTGAGCCTCAGTTTCCCCATCTGGCAAGTGGGCTGGTGATGGGCTCTCCCTCACAGGCTCATTGTAGACTAAAGAGAGCCACTGAGAACTAAATGACACAGGTGTGAAGCTCCGAACACCACAGTAGGTCCCGCTTCAGACAGCTGAGGGTCTCCAGAGCAAGTGTCTTAGACTCTTCCTGTGCACACCCCCTCTTCCAGGCAGGCCTCAGGGTGGAGGCAGTCTGCTGAGGAATGGGGAGAAGGCTCCAATCCAGGTTTGGTGATCTAGGCAAGTCCCCCCACTCCTGCCCCAGGGCACACAGGAGGGAAGGAGAAGGAATGGGGAGGCTGGAAGAGGAGACACAGAGCTCAGAGGAGGAAGGGCTGTGGGGAACATTCAGGCCTCCCTTCCTCTTGGAAATGAGATGACTGAGGCCCAGAGAGGGGTAGTAGCCTGCCCAGGATCACAAAGCAAGTCAGGAGTAAAGCCAGGACCAAATCCCCACCCAGAGCCCTCTTCCCACCTCCGCTGCACCTGGTGACATCTATCTGGCATCCCCAGAGCAAGCTTGGAATCCCTTGGCCCAGGACAGCACCTGCTATGGAGAGGTTACCTTGGACCACACTCCTGACAGCGAAGTCCATGGTGTAGCTGACCAGGGCCATGAGCACCCCAAGGGCCATCAGGAAGTACCAGTCCTCGCCCAGGCGGAACAGCTTCTGCTTCAGCCACTCCAGGCCTCCTGGGGCAGGGCATAGGGGTCATGGCCCAGGGTGGGACAGGGTACACAGACAGTCTCTTCCTTGGAGGACTGCTGGGCTCCAGGCAGGGAGACTGGGGCAGGATGGGTGGAGCTTGGTGGTGGAGTCTGGGGTAGTCCTGAGGGGGTCCTGCCTCACACTGGGGGCTGGGCGGGATTTGTGGTGGGTGACAATCATGACACACTGGGTGCCAGGACTCCTGCCCTGCCAAAAAGCCTTTGACCTGTCCACCCTCCGTACTGGGGGCCCCTGGGGGACAGGGAGTGTGGAGGAGGCTGGCAGCTACGCTTTCACCCGAATCCCCGCAGGGTCTGTAGCTTAGAGAGCTCCAGGGTCTAGCAGACTCCTGCGTGTCCCAGGACTTGTGGCGCCAGGTATCCTCTGGGTCCCCAGCAACGCCCCTGGCCCGCTGGCTGCCAGCCCAGCCTGGGAGCTGGCCATCACTGACTGTGGGCACCAGCCCCTGGGGCTGCACTTAGCTTCCTTCTGGGGTCCCTGCCTGCTCTGCCCCATAGCTGAGGGGCTCTAAGCAAAGGGGCCAAGTGCAGGCTGCCCCACCCCCTTGCTGTACCCCAGCTGTCCCAGCAGCTGACCCTCGGGGCCCCTCATTGGCACAGGTAGGTGAAGGACAGGCCTGGGAGGAGGGTGGGCACAGTGACCAGACCTCAGGCTGTATCTCAAAAGGCAGAGGGCAGATGCCCGGCCCATCTGACCCACAGACAGCTGAACAGACAGACCCCTTCCCTCCCTACACCCAGGAGACTCTGGGCCGTGATGTCCTGGACAAATGCCAGGAGGAGGGTGGCTCCTGGGCAGGGAGGTGGGGTGGGAGCTGGGCAGGGGGATGTCCTGAGGGGTCTGCCACAGGGAGAGGAAGGGGACCAGGCTCTCACCTCGGATGCCTTGGCGGATGTGGGGACATGGGCCCCACAGCTCCTGCAGAGTCACAGGATCCCCTGAGGAGCCCTCACGCAGCCCCACCAGCTCCTCCATCAGGTCTCTGGGGAAGCAGATAGAGGCAGGGACCCGGGTGAGCTGCTCTGGATAGAGGGAGGACCCGGGTGAGCCGCTCTGGATAGAGGGGGGGACATGGGTGAGCTGCCCCACATCCTCTTGCTGCCTCTCAGCCCTTCCGGGGCTCTCCCTCCCAAATGAAGAGGGAAGGATTCGGCTTTTGCGGGTGTGTGTGTGTGTGTGTGTGTGTGTGTGTGATCACACTAGGTCTGTGTGTGCCCTCATCCCTGAGGTTCTGTCACTGAGGGTGTGCCCGTGTGTGTCATTGTGTGGGATGGGGGTGGGATTCCTAGGTGTCCCCCCGTGTCCAGCAGCCGACTGGGCACAGGCTGGAGCCCAAGCCCTGCTCAGAGCCTTCCCCTTCTGTGGCCACCGCTCGCACCCTTCTGGATCGCTTGGCGCTTCCACTGCTGGGAGCAGTCTCTGGCCAGGGCTGTGACTCACTGCAGAGTCCCAGGGATGGCTCTGACTCTCCCTGTCCATCTTGGAGCACCCTCGTCTCTCCCCAGTAGCTCAGGCCACAAAGGCAGGAAAGCCCCAGGTCCAGAAGGAGACCTCTGCAAAGCCAAAGTGAGATACTGGCTCCTACCCCTACCATCCCCTCTGCCCTGCCTGCCTGGTGCTGCCAGGTCCATACCCCAGTTCATGCCCAGAGTCCCCTTACCTCTCAGTCTTCCTGCTGTGGCCGAACTGGCCCTCCTGTCACAGAGCCTCCTTTGCTCCCAGCTGCAGCGCACCTAGACAGGTGTATGCTCTATGCTCCACCAATCATCATCCTCTCCCCCCGCACCTGGGGTTTACTGTGGAGATTTAAAATGTCCTTGACAAACCAACCTGAACTGTGCAGCCGAGCGCCATGCAGGGCAGAGCTGCCAATAGAGGGGGGCAGCAGCTTCCCCACCCACCAAAGCCACACAGAGGGTGGTGTCTGGCTGCACTCAGGCTCCCGGGGTGTTGCTGGGCAGGGTCCGGAGAAGGGGAGCTCACGAACACAGCAGGACAGCGAGGGGTCATCTGCCCGAGCTGAGGCTCAAGGCCCAGGGAGCTCAGAGCTGGACATGCAAGGTTTGGAAAAGCACAGAGAGAGATGGGGGAGGCTGGGCAGGGAAGGTGAGGACAGGCCGGCAAAGGTGAGTGGGGCAGCATGACCGCACCCTCCCTGTGTGCCAGGTACACAGTCAGCCTTGCCCAGATTAATCACCGTAAGTGACCACGGAAGCCCCATGAGGCAGGCAGGGTGAGCCCGTTGTAAATAAATGGTGTCTCAGGGAGGCTAGGCTGCCTGCCCAAGATCACAGAGGCCGAGGCAGAGTCAGAACTCCCAGCCAGGGTTTGCCTGGCTCCAAAGCCTACAGGCTGTGCCGCACGGTCCCGTCCTGATAACCCATCTTGTCCAGGGCTGGCGAGGAAGCCAACACCTGGGGCGAGGCAGTGAGTTGGGGTGAGGAACTTGAACTTGATCCTCGTGTCCAGACCCCCCAGGCTCAGGAAATGCCTGTCAAAGCACACGTCCAAGGGGCAGCAGCTCTGGCTGGGGACTTCTGGGTAATTCCACAGACTCTGTCCCGCTCCAACAGAGGACAGGAGCGTAGGAGTGAGGGAACGTGGTGAGGAACAAGCAGGTGTTGTGTGCCTGCTACGTGCAGGAGCTTCACATCCGCAGCTCAAGTCCCCCTCCACACACCCTGTGAATGGGGGGAGCATTGCCATTTTGTAGATGTTCAGAGAGGTGAGTCACTCCTCCAGGGTCACACAGCAGAGGCTGAACCCAGCCCTCCACCATGCAGCTCTTCCTCTGCCCAAATCTCCTCCAGCTCCTGAGGCTCAACCAGGGCAACGGTTTGGGTACACAGCAGAAGAGTTGAGTCTGAGGTCCCTTTTGGGCAACAGGTTGGTCCTGTAATGATTGTTACAATCTGGGACTCTGGGCTACCTTCTGTCCCTAGATGCCAGGCAAGTCAGACCAAAATAGAAGGTGTGTGTTGTGGGAGGTGGGACGGGGCTTGCTGCTCTGCGTGGTCCCGAGCCCACCTTTACCTTGGCCACCCTGACCTGTTGACTCTGCACAGCACCAGAACTGGCTGCCCTGTTGACATCCTGATCCCCAGTGTCTGGTCTGGGGCAGCTGCTGGCTACTGTCCCACAGCTGGCACTGCAAGTCCACATCCACCCTCACCCCCCAGCCCTGGGAGCCCCAGGAGGCTGAGGGAGGGCAGCCAGGCGGCTCAGCAGGATGAAAGCAGGTATGAAGCCAGCACAGCTCTGCTATGCCTAACTCCTTCATCAACTCGAACCTCAGTTTCCTCTTCTGTCTGATGAGTGAGCCTGGAGGCAGGGGCCTGTCTCTGCCTTATTCATCTGAGTCCTTCAGAGCCTAGAACAGTGCCCAGCACCTATTTATAGCAGGGTTTCAATAAATACCTGCTGAGTGATGAAGGCTTCATCACCGGCCCATGAGCTGGCTGTGTGGGGAGCTGATGGGAAGACATGGGAGGTGCTTTCTCCAGATCCCAAATCAAAATCCTGGGGTCGGAGGAAAGGGTCCATGTTTGGGAAAAGCTTCCCTGGGTAATTGGGATTCAAAGGACTGTATCATCTTTTTAGCTCCTTCTGTCCCTGTGATCTGAAGATAGAGGCAGGGGAATGGCCTTGATGACCTTTTGAGGTCCCTCCGGGCCAGTGAAGCCAGAGGATCCAGTATTTGTGTGGGCAATGCCTTGGGAAGCGGAATGGTGGGCGGGGGTGGGTAATGGGATCTGACATCCAGGGGCAGTGACTCAGGCCCTCAGCACCATGACAGTGTGTCTGCATTTAGCCACTGGCTCCTGTTTCCCTGGCGTCCGGCAGGCTCTGGGCCCCCCACCCCGCCCCACTCTCTCTCCATCTCACCTCAGTGCCGGTGGCTTCCCAGTGGCCCTAGAAACCCCTCAGCCAGGCTGGGTGTCACAGGCTACCACATGGGCAGGAAGCTGCCAGGGCAACAGGCACCAGCCTGGCCCCCACTGTGCCCTGTGCCCTGCTCTGCTTCCACTCCATGTACCTCCGGCACCACTAACATCCCTGTAGACAGAGCCCTCTGGGATGAAGTGCCAGACTGGGTTGTAGGGGGCTCAGATAAAAGAGAAATGGTCCCTGTCTTCGGGAACCTTCCATCTAATGGGGAGACAGGTGAATCCTTGCCCCCGTGGGAACTGCCAGTTGGATAGGGAAGAAGGGACACAGCAGAGAGTCACAGCACACAGAAAGACCATGTCACACTGCCAGGTGCTGTGGGTGGACAAAGACAGTCAGTGTTGGGGGCATCAGGACCAAGTGTGGGGCTGTATGAGCAGGAGCAATCAGAGAGGCCTCTCTGGGGGAGGAGGGATTGGAGCTGATCTGGGATGGAAGGGCGGGATGTGGAGAGGACAGCAGAGGTCTCGAACTGCAACCTGGGCAGAGCAGAGGGCCTGGCTGCCTCTTACAATGGCCTCCACCCTGGCCCAGTGCAAGGTCAGTTCCAGCTCTGCTGAGCAAGCAGGTGGGTAGGGAGGGACTTCTCCGGCTCTTCTGGGCTGGCCTGTCTCCACAGGCATATGTTCAAAACCACCTCGGCCTCCGAAGGGCTTTGGGTCCACATCTAGGTTTGAATCCCAACTCTGCTCCTTACGCAAGTGCAAGCCCCTCCCTTTCCAAGAGGCTTCATTTCCCCGTCCATAAAATGGGAAGAACGCCTCACCTCCACACTCCCAGCTTCGTGGAGATCAAGCTGCGTGGGCCACACTGGACAGCTTGTGGTCAGGAGCCTGTGCCCAGAAGTCACTCCAGAAGTCAGGGCTAGAATGATAGTCGTTGGGAATTCTTTTACCTCTGACTGAAATCCCTAAAGCAGCCCCAGGGGTCCCCTCTGACACGGAGGTGGAGCAGACAGTTGCCAGGAACATAACCCTCTAGACCTTTAAGGAGAAAGCTGCTAGCTTTCTCCTCTTGGGGCCCCTAAATGCTCTGAGAGTCAGGGGGAGTACAGGCAGGGGATCCAGGTCCCCATGGGGGCTGGCAGGGGACAGCTGAGCATTCTACTTCTCCTGCCAGGGTTCAGCCTTCCTTAGACATAGGCTGCGAAGGTTGTCTGCCTTGAGGGAAGGAGCTCCTGACATCACACAGCCGTGGCGCTTCCACTCATCCTGTCCCCAAGGAGCCTACACTCTGATGGGGGAGAACTGCCGTGGCGGAGAACCAGAGTCTGAGGGGGGAGGCACAGTCCTTACAGACCCCCCAGGCTGATGGGGGGAAACAAAACACACAAGAAACCCCAAACCTGCAAGGTTCTGGGGCAGGCACCGAGGTCCGAGTGTCAAGGGGGCGGAACCCAGGCCTGTGTTTGGGAAAGGCGGTGTGGAGGCCCCTGGGGCTGCTGTGATCGGCCTGGAATGCCAGGCTGTGAGCTCAGCCTCTTGGCCTGCGTGTGTTGGGCTGTCAGCAAGCCGGCGCACGGGAGAAGGTTTCCAGCCCCCTCTGGGCCATGGAGAGGCCTAAATTTAGCTAGTAGACAAGGGGCTGGCCCCGAGCCCAGGGACAGTCGGCCTTATAAAGCGGCCACCGTCAGGGCCCAGCACGCTCCCCCAGAGGCCTGTGCCCACACCCTCTCCTGTCCAGTCCCTGCCCGCCTGGACAGGGCCCGGCGCCGCCCGTGGATGAGCCACAGGACCTCTTCCACCTTCCGAGCGGAGAGAAGTTTCCATTCCTCCTCCTCTTCCTCCTCCTCTTCCACCTCCTCCTCGGCCTCCCGTGCCCTCCCGGCCCAGGACCCACCCATGGAGAAGGCCCTGAGCATGTTTTCCGATGACTTTGGCAGCTTCATGCGTCCCCACTCGGAGCCCCTGGCCTTCCCAGGCAAGTGCTCGAGGCTCTGAGGGGAGGGGAGGTGCAGAGGGAGGTGACATCCACTCCAGGGCGCCACCGAATGCACTGTGGCTGCCGGGCTGCCTGGAACAGGTGCCACACAGCCCGCAGCCATGTGTGGCTGCCAAGACAGAGGTGGCCACAGGGACAGATGTGGCCATGAAAACAGGTGGGCCTCTAAGGAACAGTGGTGGCCCTGGGGATCAGACATGGTTCCGTGGCCACCACGGTCTGTAAATGCAGCCAATCTCAGCTGGAGCCCTGGAGGGCTGGATGGGGTGAGGGGTGGGAGGCAGCCCCAGGTTCCAGGCCCCGGGTGAGGTGTTACAGACCTAGCGTCATATAAACACACCACACCTGTGGGTGAGGCCCCATCCCCACCCCAGAAAAGGTGAGCTGCAAGGAGGAGGAGCTTAAGGAGAAACACCTGGGGGATGGGTAGGGCCTGGGGAGCCACCCATTGCCCTAAGAGAAGGAGCCAGAATCCTGGGGTCAGCACGCCAAGCCTGCTCCATGCCTCGCTCACAATAGCCCATCCCACAGCCTGCCCTGCGGGACCAGGCAACATCAAGACCCTCGGAGACGCCTATGAGTTTGCAGTGGACGTGAGGGACTTCTCACCTGAAGACATCATCGTCACCACCTCCAACAACCACATTGAGGTGCGGGCTGAGAAGGTGAGCCCCCCAACCCCACCCACTGCACCCCAAACTCTGCTCTTGCCTCCAACGTCTCCTACTCCCCCTTCCCATCCTGGGACCCCAGACCCTGGCCAGTGTCCCTTCCCCATGCCCCCCCAGGGCTAGCTGAAGGCCTTGCCCCTGTAGCCCATGGCTATGGGGATCCTCACTGCCTCTCTTTGCATCGAGGTTCCCAGATCCTTTCTTCCAGGGCCCTGAGCAGCTGAAGGAGCCTACGGGGAATGGGAGAGGGATGGAGGGATGTGGGCAGAGGGAGCCTGAGGGGGTGGGAGTTTGAGGGAGGGAGATGAGGAGCGAGAGATGGTGATGGCAGTGTGAAGACAGCTCCTCTGGCAGCCATAGAGGGTGGATGCGGGTAGGCGGGGAACTCACCTGGGCAGCCGGGGGAGGAGTTTCTCCATGTGACACACCTCAAGCCCTCTTCCATTCCACAGCCAGAGACCCATCCCCCATCTTGGAACCCCCAAATTAGGCCCGAGGTTGGCCAGTTTAGGGTGTCCAGTCCACCTGGGGTCTGGGGGTATAGGGGCTGGAACCTGGGCTGAGATGCCTGCATTCCCCAGGCACCCCAGATTCTGAGCCACTGCCACGGAGCTGCTTTTCCTTCCAAGTCCCACCCCCTCCCCATGCCCCATGCTGCCCTTCGGAGCTGCTGGAGCTCCACGAAGCACCCTGCCCTGTCCCTGCAAAGCCCTCGGCCTATGGCCATCACCACTGTGCAGTTTAGGGTCACACACACTCTAAACCACACACACCCTCTGCCCTCGGGTCTCAGGGTCACGGGTCTCTTGAGTGTCTGAGTCTGAACTTCTAGGAGGCATTGGGGCCTCCGTCCTGGAGAGGGTGTGGCCAGGCCTGAACAGGGGCGCCACCTGGGACAGCCGGAGCTGCCAGGAGAGAAGAGAGGACCTGCCCAAGGCCTCCTCCTAAGCTCCAATGGGCTGGCTTCCTCCCTTCCGTATTCAAGGATGGACTCCTGACATCCCTGCCAGGGATGCCAAAGACTGGGGACACCAGGACCTGAGGGCAGCACGTGCCAGCCCTGCCACCTGCAACAGTGACTCAGCTGCCCCAAACTCCCCTGGACACTATGTGCTGGCTGAGTTGTGGGGGAGAGGCAGGCGCTCAGCCCTAGCGGGCAGATGCCCAATGAGTCCAGGGATCCAGGAGGGCGTGGCTCTCCTCTGTCATCCCTGCATTCCCCAGGAGCCCCAGATTCAGAGCTACTGCCACAGAGCCGCCTCTCTCTCCAAGTCCCACCCCTCCCCATGCCCCTTGCCTGTCCCTTGGAGCTACTGGAGCTCTACGACACACCCCTGGGCTGTCCCTGAATAGCCCTGGGCCTGAGGCCATCACCACCCTGGGCAGACCCTCCACACCTGAGGGCAGAGCTCCTCAGCATATGGGGACTGGCTCAGGTTAGAATGGGGAGAAGAGGGCTATGGCTTGTCACAAGCAGGACAGGGGCAGGGGCAGCCTGCCTGACGGTCACCCCTTTCCCAGCTGGCAGCAGACGGCACGGTCATGAACACCTTCGCTCACAAGTGCCAGCTGCCGGAGGATGTGGACCCTACATCGGTGACCTCGGCTCTCCGGGAGGACGGCAGCCTCACCATCCGGGCACGGCGCCACCCGCATACAGAGCACGTCCAGCAGACCTTCCGGACAGAGATCAAAATCTGAGGGCCTCTCCTTTCCCTTGCCCTGCCCCCCCACCCCCACGTCTGCCAGCAAAGCCTTCCTAACCCCATTTCAACAGCTCCAGACCATCTCAGCCCAGGTTCCAGCCCCTATGCTCCCCAGGCCCCAGGTGGACCATCCTCCCGTACTAGGGCCCTCCACTCTATCCAGAGCAGGCCAGGAGAGTCCCTGGCCTGAGGCATGGTGCCCAGATTTCAAATATGGCTTCCCTCACTTAATCCAGAGTAGAGGGGCCGGGGTAGGGGAAGGAATATCTAAAGAACCTGCTGTGGGTCAGGGGATTGGGACCAGCAGGACATCTGGGCAAGCTCTGCGGGACAGACAGACAGACAGACAAACACTCTGATCTATGAAGTCCCTGCAGGGCAAGGGGAGCAGGGACCTGGAATCCCCTTGGCCAAGGGGAGCAGGAGAGACAGAGGGAAGGTCACAGGCAGGGGTGTCTATCTAAGTGGAACTAACTGCCCGAGGGCTCACCAAGGCCAAGAGGAGACAGCCGTGACGGTAAACTTCCCCTCTGCCAGCCTCCAACCCTCACGCCAGTGAGCAGGCTGCCTGCCCGCCCTGTGCCCCCAGCCAGCTGGCTGTGCCAGAGCAGAGCCATGCCACATCTGTATATAGATGGGGTTTTTCCAATACACCTGATTCGTGATAAACTGCATGAAACTCCTGCCGTCCCATGCCTGCTGGGGCCTTCAGCAAGGTCAGGTAGGGTTGGGGGTGGGGCTGGTCCTTCTCCCTCCCACCCACAGGCCTATGTTCCTGGGCTGTTCCCATGCAGACAGGATCACTCAACAGAGGTGGAAGCCAGGGCATGGATGGGGCTTTGGGTCCTAAAGGCTGGACCTCAGCTTCTTGCCACCTTCCCCTCTAGGCAGTCGCCTCGTCATCCGTACCCCTCTTTAATCTATGAATTTATAGGCCTGGTGTGTGTAACACACACACCCTTATCCTTGTCCTTCAAATACTCAGCATGACCATTGGTTGAGGCCAGATTCAGAGTTTTCTCAATTCAGATTTACAATCTCCATTTTCATCAATGGGGAAACCATCTGTGAGCCATTGAGTGCCCGGCTTTGCTGTTGAAGGTTAGATCTAAACCCAGGGTGTCAACAGCTGCTCTCAACCCCCCATCTCTGGGCAATGAGGAGTATTTCCCCTCATTCTACCTCTCCAGGGCTATGCACCCCTCCCACGTCTTCCAGCGGGGGAGAGGGGGAGTCAGAGGAAAAGCCCCAATCTCCCATCTGGGATAGCGACCTTCCATCAGCCTTAACCCTGGGGAATGCCTGCTGCCCCCAGTGACTCTTGGCTTTGGCTCCCACATACAGAAGCAGGGTGGAGGGAAAGGGTGGTCCTCAGTTAGTGGGTCCCCAGGGCAAGTCGCAGTCCAGCCTCCTCCCTCCGCGCCTCTCAGGTCAGTGTGCCATGGGGTGGCCTCTCACTCCTGCCACTCTGGGCCCCCTGGGGGTGGACTCTGGAGGGGTGTGTGGGAAAGCCCTGTGGCTGGAACCTGTATACACAATAAAGGACAGTCTCACAGCCTTCTGGAGGCCAACTGCCTGGAGTTCTCAAACAGGGCAGGGCTGGAAACCCCAGGAGAAGCAGACACACCTTTCAGATTTGGGGGTGAGTTGTAGCTCAAGTTAGAGCTGAAGATCTTACAAAATATGGGTGTTCCTTGGTCCCCTCCGTGGGCTCCCCAAAACCCCTGGGCAGGAACCCCAGGATTGTTTCTGGAGCACCCTTGCAACACCCTCTCTTCCAACTGCCTGCCCTTCCCTTTTTATTCTTTCTTTCCTTCCAGAGATATTTACTGCCCTGCTGTGTGTCGGGCGCTGTGCCAAGCACTGTCCCAGTCCCAGGCGCAGGGATGCGAAGGTGGGCAGGCTGCACCGGGTGGCCTGCCCTCTTGAATTCCTTCCTGTACCTAATGGGGCTTCTGCGGCCCAGAGAGGCTGAGTGACTGGCCCAGGGTCACACAGTACCAGAGGCAAAGCCAGCTGGAACTTGGGGGCAGGGGTTGTCCTGGCTGATTCAGAGAGCCTGGGGAGGGGGGGCCCTCCGGAGGGGTCCCCCACCCTGCACAACCCCGTGCAGCTCCTCCGGGCTGCGGTCAGGAGGAGGGGAGGCGAGCAGGGACGCGCGGTATTTCCAGCCTCCATGACTCACTGATTCCACCGGGCTATTTGCAGCCCCGACACTCATTGGCGCGAGGTTGTGGGAGGAGCCGGCCTGGCTTCCCCTCCCGCACCCCCCACTCGGGTTCAGGCTCACCTTGGCGTACTGACCCCAGCAAGCCCTCCCTCGGCCTGTGCTGGGAAAGGGGACAGTTTCCCAAATGGTCAATAGGGCCGACCTCCCCCAGTCCCCAGCAGCCCCCTCCCCAAACCGCAGTTTGCGGGGATGAGGACAGCTCAGGGGACCAGGCGGCCGCTGGGCAGCTGGGGCATGTCGGGTCCGAAGCAGCCCTTGGCCGCCAGCCCGGCCAAGGTGACCCTGCGGCAAGGGAGGGCGGGTTGGCAGCCGGGCTTTCGCCGGCTCCGCCCCCTGGGAACTAGCCTCGGCGCTTTGTCTCCCAGCGCCCCCAACCCCCTTCCAGGCTAAATATAGGCCTGGCTGCCGGCCCAGCGCCCCGCCCCCACCCGGAAGAGTAATTATAGCTGTCCCATTCATTAAGCAACTAGGGTGTGCCAGGCGCGCTGCTCAGTCCCAAGAGTCCCGCAAAGCAGGTACTATGATAACTGTGTGCTGAGAAGGACACGGAGGATCAGCGAGGTCAGGCAACTGGCCAAGGTCACCTGGCTTGGAAGTGGCAGGGTTAGGATGTGAATCCTTGCTGTGGCCCTGGAAAGCCCTCTGCTGGGTCAATCTGGATCATCAGCTCCCCCCAGCCATGTCAGCCACCACAGGGAAAGGGGGCTTTTGCATCTTACAGCTTTTGGGATGGGCCTGGGAAGGAGGTAGGGGATACTGAAAAGACGCAGCTCTCTGGGGCTGGAAACCTGTGAGAAAGTCCAGGTCAGGTAGTACCAGAGACTGGGAGGGTCAGACCTAGAAGGCTTCCTCACTTTGAAGGCCTAGCCCAGGCCAAAGGCCTCCTCCTCCAGAAAGCCCTCCAGAGCTACCAGCTCAGAGTCACAGACAGAACACAAAGAGCCCAGGCAGATGTTCAGAGCCCCTTTCAAAACCCTGTTTCCAAACTCAGGTGAAAGTAGCACATGCTCAGGAGCCTGAGGTGAGAGGATCACTTGAGCCCCAGGTTTAGAGACCAGCCTGGGTAACATGGCCAAGAACCCGTCTCTACAGAAAATACGAAAATTAGCCAATATAGTGATGTGCACCTGTGGTCCCAGCTACTTGGGAGGCTGAGGTGGGAGGATCGCGGGAGCCCAGGAGATGGAGGCCTCAGTGAGCCATGATCGCACCACTACACTCCATCCTGGGTGACACAGTGAGACCTTGACTCAAATAAAATAAAATAAAAAATGTCCAGGCTCACGCCTGCATTCCCAGCACTTTGGGAGGCTGAGGAGGGTGGATTGCCCGAGCTAGATAAATACAAAGCATGTATTTGAGACCAGCCTGGGCAACATGGCAAAACTGCATCTCCACAAAAAATACAAAAATTAACAGGGTGTGGTAGCGCATACCTGTAGCTCCAGCTAGTTGGGGGTTGATGCTGGAGGATCACTTGAGCCTGGAGGTTGAGGCAGTGAGCCATGTTTGAGCCACCACACTCCAGCCTGGGCAATGGAGTGAGAACCTGTTTCAAAAAAAAAAAAAAAAAAAGTGACCTATAGGGAAAAGACCCCAGAAGTGCGGAGGCAGGAACCAAAGGCCTCAGCCTATTTCCATATGAAGAATGAAGAAGAAAGTAACTAGAAACATAACCGTAGTAGTTATTAGTTATTCACAGGTGATCTTAGTTCTTCATAATTGAACTTAATTCTTTTTTTTTTTTTTAAAGACGGGATTTCACCGTGTTGGTCAGGCTGGTCTTGAACTCCCGACCTCAGGTGATCCGCCCACCTTAGCCTCCAAAGTGCTTGGATTACAGGCGTGAGCCACCACGCCCGGCTGTGATCTTAATTCTTTTACTAATGCCTCTCAGTTTGGAAGTGTGAACCTGGGGCGACATTGTGAAATGAAAGACTCTAAGGCAAGACATTTTAAGCCCTCTGTCACGCCTGCGTAAGGGCTGCTGGAGGGTGCCTTGGCTGTGCGGCAGGCAGCGTCAGTGCTGGGAAAGCGCCTGCTGTTTAGCCAGCTAGGGAAGGAGGCGTCCAAAATAGCTGAGACGTCTCCTTCCTCGGAGGAGTTAGGAGAAAACTCCACTTCTGCAAGCTCTTGCGGTAAGGCCGGACGGCTGTCAGGAAGGTCCGCAAACACCAGGGGCTTAACTGTCTCTATGTGATGCTGTGCTTCAGTGGTCACGTTCCACGTCAATCTCATGATCTGCTTCTGTACCTGGTTCCTTTTTTCTTGTAAGAATGAATCAGTAAAAGCAACGTAAATCTTAATGTCTTTGTGACAAGTATGGAAAAAGTGCTGACGAATTATGCCCCTTACCTCATCTCAGCTATCACCTGCATGACCCTACCACTGTCACACCCTCTTTTACCCTGCCCCCAGTCGCCGACCTCCAAGACCACGCCCTACCTACGCCCTACCTTCCCTGTCCCCAGCTTTTGTACTCAATAAATTAAGTCAGAGTGTGCGGACACTCCAGGCTCCGCACTTTGGTTGGCAGTGGACCTCTGGGGCCAAACTTACTTTTCTCTATCTCTGTGTCTTGTGTCTTTTATTTCTACAATTTCTCGTCTCCCCACCAGCAGGGAGGGATTCACAGAACCCTGCAGGGCTGGACCCTACAGTGACCTTTTGTATTTGACATCTTTCACCTAGCATAATGTTTTCAAGATTCATCTATATTGTAGCATGGGCTAATAATCTGTTCCTTTTTAAGGCCGAATCATACTCAGTTGCACGGCTAGGCCACAATTTGCTTAATTTTCATCAGTTGATGGATGCTTGGGTTGGTTCCACCCTCCTGTTTTGGTGACTAGCGCCGCTCTGTACACTCAGGCAGATTTTCTTTTTGAGATGGAGTTTCGCTCTTGTTGCCCAGGCTGGAGTGCAATGGCACAATCTCAGCTCACTGCAACCTCCACTTCCCGGGTTCAAGCAATTCTCCTGCCTCAGCCTCCTGAGTAGCTGGGATTACAGGCATGTACCACCACACCCGGATAATTTTGTATTTTTAGTAGAGATGGGGTTTCCCCAAGTTGGCCAGGCTGGTCTCAAACTCCTGACCTCAGATGGCCCACCTGCCTCGGCCTCCCAAAGTGTTGGGATTACACCAGCCACTGTGCCTGGCCATTAGTGCAGATTTTCATGTGGATGAATGTTTTCACTTCTATTGGAGATATATCTAGGAGCGGAATTGCTGGGTCCTCTAAAAGCTCCACATTTGTTTGAGGAACTGCCAGACTGTTTTCCAAAGTGGTTGTACCATTTTACAGTCCTACTGAAGATTTTACTTAATTTGTGGTTAATGAGGGAACCAGTAAGATGTTACAACCAGTTCAAGGAATACTGAAATGAACATGCATGTAGAGGTAACACTGGCTTCTTCCACAGTGGGGAAGGAGAATCCACTGGACTTAAGCAGGACAGGACAGGATTTTCTTGTCTGTAGACAAGAAGTATTTTGCATTCCTATGTGTTACGTACCATAGACAGAGCTGTAAAATAGCTCAAAAGCAAAGAAAAACGCTCATCTCCTAGATAACCAGACAATGCACAGACTGTTGGATAATTTTTGTGATCATTTGTGCTTATTCCAAAGTTTTCACGTCTCTGTCACCTTAGGCCTAAAGGAAATAATGGATACAGTGATCCATTTCCAAAACAAAGTGCCTTGGATAGGTTTGAGTCCTCAAACTACAGAACAGACTCTACTAGGCCCCTGCTTTGACAGCCGGTGCCTGCTTGTCAGGGTGCCCTTAGTTGCCCTCACCCAAAGCAAAAAAGTTTAGTCTAGAATGAAAGTTTACTAGCCTGCAAAATAGCTCAATTTGTCTATTCTCATCAGCTTGCCTGACTACCTAGGTCATAAGCCAAATACTTAAAAAAATCCTAAGCTGACTATGATTGCAATGCATTGTGGGCTGCCACAAAATGTACCTCTAAAGACAGCACCTAAAAACCCCTACCCAACAACCAATAGGTGACATCTGGGAAGACTGTGACCCCACAGCCACAGTACTCAGCCTGTGAGGAACCAGGGAGGGTCCTGCGCGCTAGGGGTTAGATTGCTTGTTGTGGCTGTGCTGCGTGCACCTGCCCACCGTACACTCCATCTTGCAAGACTGTCATTAAAAGTCTCTTCCAGGCCAGGCGTGGTGGTTCACGCCTGTAATCTCAGCTGAGGTGGGTGGATTATGAGGTCAGGAGTTTGAGAGCAGCCTGACCAACATGGTGAAACCCCATCTCTACTAAAAATACAAAAATTAGCCAGGCATGGTGATATACACCTGTAATCCCAGCTACTCAGGAGGTTGAGGCAGGAGAATCGCTTGAACACGGGAGGCGGAGGTTGGAGTGAGCCGAGATCACGCTATTGCACTCCAGCCTGGGTGA